CTAAGCTTTTATATAAACATGTTTAAGGGAACTGAGGGTCAGCTGGGATCATTTGCTATGACGAGGGGATTTTACTCAAGGAAAATGGATTGTGCCCATTCCAATAGCAGATACCAGAGTAACCTTGAGAAATTAAAGAAACTCGTTTGTGAGTGCAGCTGTACTGGTGAGGCTTGAATAGCAAATAGGCATGGACCTTACTTAGTCAGGATCAGAGGTGCGTAAGTTCTGAAACCTGTATTCAAAGCAAGTGCAGATTTGGAAGCAAGGTAAGACTTATTAGGAAGAGGGGTAGGTGGAACTGCATATTTGTTCAGCGTCTTCAGAATGGGTATTGGGTGGAAGCAGAGAGCCTATGGAAGAACGGAAAAAGAGGTACATCAGCCAGGAAGGTTAGTTTTAGAGGTCAGAAAAGCGTAGGATTAAAAGGACAGTTGACAACACTCAAGCTGATTACGTCTTGCAAAGCAAATTTAAGGGTACCTCAAGTATGCTTCAGCAATAGAAACAGAAAGAAACTAAAGAAACAAGGGGGGTGTTATCCAGTAAGGGTCATGTAGAAACAAAATGCAATGTAGATTGAACCTAGAAAACTAACACGGAATGAGCTGCCCCAGATTTCAGTAGCAGTTATGAACACAGGGACAGCATTTTTCTTAACCTGAACATACACACAGCTTTCAGTAGCCGAACGGAGCGCAAGGATTACTTTTTGCATATGACATTTCTATTTATATACTCTAATACAGAATTGTTGACTCATGATGAGTTTGTGATATGCTGTCCTTTGCAAATCCTTTTCCCCTAGAACTGCCATACTACTGATCAGTCCCCTCAGTGGCTATGTACGCTGCGGTTCTCTTTTTTGAATTGTAGCATTTATTTTCAGACCCCTTCCTTGTCTGATAAAGTTATTATGAATTCTGAATTCTAACAGTGTTCTTCAGCATATTAGCATAGCATTGTTTGCATATTTAATATTTACAATGAATGCAAGAAGGACTGTACCAAGGTAAGGCAATTTTTTTTTAGTACCATATTGCTGTGGGGATTGGTTTAAGACACTCTGGAGGTACTTTCAAAGTTGCGATTGAAATCTGTTTTCAGCACATTAAGACTTTTACAGTACATTTATTTATATACTTACATTGTCTTTTGAGCTGGTACTATGAAGAGGAAATAGTAGTAATAAGGTTTTACTGAAATATACTTGCCGCTGATCTGGTATTTGTAACAATAATCTGGAGAAGATGTATTTCTACTGTCATGGAAATTTAGGCAGCTGTAAGTATCAATTTTGCATGTGTGTGTGTACAGGAGAGGAAGAAATATGTAACAAAAACTAGATAGTGTCACTGACTGGCTGTCAACAGTCATTGACACAATGAGAGGCCAGAGATGCTCTACATGCCAAGGCCCGAGGGCTTAATTCGATGTACTCCCTGAAAGAGTGGATTAATGCTGCAAGAAAGTGAAATGGTCAGGGGAGTAGAAAAATGTGTTCCTTTCACTAGTTTGTTGGGTGTTGAATCTAAAAGTACAATCCCAATTTCTTATATGAATGTTGTTGAGAAGCAGTCAACCAGGCTTCTAAACAAGTCAGTGGAGTGGCAAATGCATTTTTCAAATGTAAAAAATTGTTATCCTCTATGTCTAAAACATGCTGATGAACGTCTCCCAAATTCTTCTTCGTAATGTCTTAGAATAGTAGAATCATAGAATGGTTTAGGTTGGAAAGGACCTTGAAGACCATCGAGTTCCAACCCCCCTGCCATGGGCAGGGACACCTCCCACTAGACCAGGTTGCCCAAGGCCACATCCAGCCTGGCCTTGAACATCCCCAAGGGATGTTGAGGGATGATCCCTCAACAACCTCTCTGGCCAACCTGTTCCAGTGCCTTACCACCCTTAAAGTGAAAAACTTCTTCCTAATTTTTAATCTAAACCTGCCCCCTTCTAGTTTATAGCCATTAGTCTTGCTTTCATTTTATACAGACATTTCACTCTGGTAGTTTTCCAAATTGTCTAGCCTTTTTTCAGGGATAAATCATGTTGGTTCATGCTGCATAGGGTGGCTTTCTAAGCTTTAGTTTCCAGCCTTCTTCCCATATCTTCTGTGCCTCCAGCCTTCTTCCCGCACCTTCCCTCCCTCAAACATCCCGTTTCCTGCTGCTTTTTTTTTCCCATTTCATTCTGCTTAAAATAGCTGTGACCAGACTATTATATTCTAATGACAGACTTTGGCTATTGCTCATCTTAACAGCAGTTCTCAAAGACTCTAGGAGTCTGGTGCATGGCGTGCCATGGAAACGGACTCAGCATATTGCCGACATGATAGTAATAACTGCTGACACGATTCAGTGACAAGATACAGAATAATTTGAACTCTGTCTATTCAAATCCTGGTAGATTTGAATTTAGCTAAAAATTTGTTCTTCCCAGCAGCCACAGGTATTGTTATGTAGACATCAAAAACAGTTTAAAGGACTGTTGACAGACACCTGGAAATAAAACTGTAAGCTTTGGTAGACATATGTATACTATAGTAAAAAAACCTTTGGTCCCCTTTAGATGAAAACTGGAAAGGTTGTACACAAGTGCTTTGAACACTAATTTCTATTCAATAAAATATCTCAGTTCACATTGCATTTTTAATATTTCAGGATTCTGGTGACAACATAGAGTATAAAAGTAAATTTTGATTTATTTCTTTCCCACTTGAAATTGTGAGATGGAAATAGTTCTATTGTATTCCATTTCAGTATGTTAAATTTGTTTATAATAATGTAAAGTATAAAAAGATTCTATTGTTCCTATCCTTTGTTTTGTGAATTGTAAGAAAGCAAAGATTTGCCTGGATATGTACTGTATCCCCAATTGCTATAGAAAAATTTAGTGACTTATCTTTATAATAAAAATACTAACCATGAATTTGATGTGTAATGCATCACAAGAAGAATTCTAAACTAATACAAATCCCACAAGTTCTAAAAAACAGCCCATTTGTAAAGTCAAGAAACGATCTTTCGTAATGAATGATTGCATTGACAAAAAGGTTGCATCAAAATTTATTTTTGTTTAAACTTAGTTTAATATAATGAATTAAATGTAGTTAATTTTGGTTAATTTAGTTTTAGTTTGAGATCTCCATAGGGTCCTTTGAGATTTGCATATTGAGGTCTAGGGATTATCATTAAGTATTCTGCAGCCTGCATTCTGAGATTTCATTCTCAAAAATTTTAAGCCATAGACTTATGTCATTTTTTAAAAAAATATTTTTAGTTATTAACTTAATTTCAGGAGTCAAAGGTGTCTAAGTTTAGTACACACTGGTTTTCCTTATTATTTAATACTACATGTTCATACAGTGTCTAACTTGTCCTTTATGGTATAATAAAGAAAGTATAATAGACTTTATACATACTTGTCATAGTACATAACAGAAAGAGAATATTTAAATTCTACCTGCATGGAATGACTGGATGCTGCTTGGTCTCCATTTGATTCACTATAAGATTTTAGAGCATTTCATCTCTTTTGAAGAAGTATTTTCCAGGAAACAGACCTTTATTAAGAATATGTATGTCTTATTAATGTATAGGTATAAAAATAGTATTTTTATAAATAATAATATTTTTAAAAATAATACTAATATACATATTCTTGAAAATGTTGTTGAAAATACTGTCATAGTTATGTAAACTGAAAAGGTTTCAATATTACTTAATCTTATTTTGGTGAAAAAGATTTGTTTTGAGATGTAAGGTAATTAAAATAAAAACTTGGTTTATTACTTATTGCTCTTTTATATTGCAGTCAGTTGGATGAGACTGATCTTTTCCATTAGATGAGATGTTCAACACAGATTCCCAATGTGTCATTTTTGTTAAATCTGCTTTTCTTTTTTGTGCTTAGTGATTTTAGCTTTTATTCCTGTTTATGTTAATAATTTCATTATTTTTATTAACAGAAAATAATTTTGAAAATACAAAATTAAAAAGCAAGGCAAAGCATAAAACTACCACCTCAAATATAATTTTGAATTTAAACTGCCAATTTTATGTTGTAAATTAAAGACTGAAGATCTGTAGTTGAAAAGGTTTATAATACTACCATAGTTGCTTTCATGCCCAGTTGAATGTAATAAGTAGTTTTGTTAAATACTGTGCTTGTTTTACAGTGTGTTTTTAAGGTGACTTCAGATTTACTGCTGGGAAAATCTTTAAGATTCAAAGTAAACTGTTCTGTCAGGGAGTTTTTGATGTCTGATAGGGGCAAGATACTATGATAAACAAAATAGCTAAATTCCCTAAGGCAAACTTACTTCATTACCTCATTTATGGATCAGTATGCTGAGTTTAAAAAGAAAGGTGATTGCTTTGGAGCAATTCAGATGGCAGAAAATCTTGTGATAGTTGAACTGAACTAATAATTAAGCTGAGCAACAACAAACTTTGACAGAGTAACAGTAGGAAAAGAAAAAAGCCATATTAGTACATATTGGTCCTAGTTCTTCTATAAAACTAAAAGAAATTGGGTTGTTTTCCAATACAAATCTCTGTTTTATTATCTTTGCAAGAGCTTAAATTTTATTTTTCACCTTTTAACTTTCCAGTATAGGAAAGGAGCATTTTGTATCCAGTATTTTTAGATTGTTTATTTTTGACTTTATTTTAACAAATTGATTAGAACGCAAGCTGGTCATACTCCTATAAGAAGTAATGTATATTGTTTGCGTATCTATCCAAGCTTCTTAGTATGATATAAAATTACAGTATATTACACTACTATTTGTGACAATAAGCTACACATGCATGACTTGGATATTAATTAATGCTGTAAACTACTAGCTCTGACCTAATACTCAAGTGTTTCTGTCATTATGGTTTGCTTAACGTAAGAACATAGTCTAAATGGGAAGATTTTTAATTACTACAAAATAAACGCTTTAGAAAAATATTTGCACTAAGGATTTTCTTGTTGTTGTTGTTGTTCTGCAGTCTCAGTTTGAACTCAGGGTATTCCACATTCGTGGAGAACACGCCGTATCAACTGCTCAGCTTGAGGAAACCATTGCACATCTGAAGAATGAACTCGATAATAAATTAAACAGAAGAAATGAAAAAGCAAAGGATATTGGTGTTTCTACAGAAGATGATAACCCACCAAAGACATACCGAAATGTATGTATACAGACTGACAGAGAAACTTTCATAAAGCCTAGTGAAGAAGAAAACAGAGCTGTGAAAAATAACCAAATAGTACCCAAAAAGCTTAATATTTCTTCTTTGTCACATAGTATTTCTGCCCAAAGTGAAAATAAGGAAAATTACAATGTACAGTCTTCAGAAAGTGTCTTATCGTGTCAACCAAAACAAATGCTGCCTCCTCCACCACCACCACCACCGCCACCACCACCACCTCCTCCTCCCCTTCCTGATTCTTCACTACCAGGTTTAGTTCCTCCACCACCACCTTTGCCAATGGATCCGACTTCACTAACATCTCAGTTTGGATCTGGTCCACCACTGCCACCTCCACTTTCTGAAGGCTGTAGGAATTTTCAAGCACCGCCACCACCACCACCACCGCTTCCAGGGCTGGGACCTCCTGTTCCTCCTCCACTGCCTGGATCTGGGTTACCTCCACCCCCTCCACCTCCTGGGTCTGGGTTCTTTTTTAATAGCACTTTATCTTCCAACCAAGGCCCTCGAAAACCTGCCATTGAACCTAGCCGTCCCATGAAGCCTTTGTATTGGACACGGATACAATTACAAGGCAGCAGGTAAGATGTATTTATTTGCTATTTATAGCAAATCAGTGTAGAGGCATGTAATTTACATGTTTTAAGAAAAAAATGGATCAGTTCTAGAAGTCTAAAAATAGCTCATAAGAAATTATTTTAAAATATCAAATACAAATTAAAAGCATATGCATTATAAATGAAAATTGTGTGCATTATAACAAAAAAAATTTGTCATTTTTTTCCCAAAAATCCAAGTACTCCATGGACACCTCTAGTGACAAGGTGGTTCCTAGCCTTAGCATTAAAGAGGAAAAAGGTAGCCGAGAAGTTAGAAAGATTTATTTTTTGAAATCTTAATTAGAATTAGAAGTGAAATGTTAAAGTTTGGTCAGGTGAGAACTTAGATTTTCATTTTTGCTTTCCAGTCACTTCAGGTGATACCATCTTCAGAGCACTATGTTGTGTCATCCTCTGATTCTAATTCTAGAAACAGTTAAACTGGAACTTAAGCTCTGTGTATAATTCTGTCAGAGCAGGAAAAGTAGAGCATATGTATAAATACATGCAGCTCAGGAACCTGTAGCATGAAGCATCCATTATGGAGGAGTCTCAGTACTGATAGAGACCTCTGTAGCTTAAATAAATAAATAAATAAATAAATAACCAATCTTATTGTGGTTTAGTGCTGGGATAAACCACTAGATACGCTTGAGGGAAGGGATGCCAGCGAGAGGGACCTTGACAGGCTTGAGGAGTGGGCCCATGCAAACCCCATGAAGTTCAAACAGGTCAAGTGCAATGTCCTGCACCTGAGTTGGGGCAATTCCTAATATCAATACAGACTAGGGGATGAATGGCTTGAGAGCAACCCTGCAGAGGAGAACTTAGGGATACTGGTGGATGAAAAATTGGACATTAGCTGGCAAAGTGAGCTTGAAGTCCAGAAAGCCATATTCTGGACTGCGGTAACAGAAGCATGGCCAGCAGGTTAGGGGAGGTGATGCTACCCCTCTACTTGCTGTTGTGAGACCCCACCTAGAGTACTGCATCCAGCTCTGGGGCCCCCAGTACAAGAAAGACATGGACCTGTTAGAGTGGGTCCAGAGGAGAGCCATGAAAATGGTCAGAGGGCTGGAGCACCTCTTCTATGAGGACAGGCTGAGAGAGTTGGGGTTGTTCACCCTGGAGAAAAGGCTCGGGGGGGAGTCACCTTATTGCAGCCTTTCAATATATAAAGGGGGCTTATGAGAAAGGTGGAGAAAGGTGGTTTTTTTACCAAGGACAATAGTGACAGGACAAGGAACAATAGTTTTAAACTGAAAGGAGGTAGAATTAGATTTCATATAAGGAAGAAATTTTTTACAACAGGGTTGGTGAGACACAGGAACGGGTTCCCCAGAGAAGCTGTGGATGCCTCATCATTGGAAGGTTTCAAGGTCAGGTTGGATGGGATTTTGAGCAACCTGGTCTAGTGAAAGATGTGCAGGACTAGATGATCTTTAAAGGTCACTTCTGATTCTATGATAGCACTCTAATAGTATATACTGTTGTAGCAAATCCAAAGCTACTATGAAACATATTGGTTTATTCATTTGTTTATAAGAGATCATTTTTGAACAGGCGTAAATAAACAATTTTTCAACAGTCTTTTTTAAATGATCCCACAACTTTTTTTATGCTATCCATTTATTCAGCTGGCAGGAGAAAAGAAGTACTCCCATTTACACTTTCTGGGACAGCATGCGTACCTTACTGCCACAGTGGTATGTGGTTTCAGTGCTGCTCAGCTGCTCTTTTTGGGATTTTGGCTAATTCTAACTTTGCTTCAAGTGTTTGTTAATGGAACGTAGAGCTCCATTAAGAGGGTTGGCTCAAAAAGTATTTTTGGGGGATGCTTAAGCAAAACAGACTAATTCTAGTTTAACAAGGAGTTGCTAGAATCATGAAATAAAATCCAGGTCCTGTTTTATACAAATGAAGAAATTACATGATTATTTGGGTCTTAAAATTGAAATCATTATGATCGGTGTTCAAAATTATTTTAGCATAAGTGCAGTCACTAAAATGATAAGTTTATTAAAAAAAGAATACATTATATTATTACTTATGACTTATAGTCATAACATAATATAATATATATTCTATACTATATACACACTATTACATTCTGTTATATACTGTGACTATATTGGTATGTGTTATGAAATATACAAAATATGATTTATTATAGATTAATTAGAATGAGTTGCTATAAATTATTTATTTGAGTATTGAAAATTATTTATTATTCTTCTTAATCTTTTAAGTTATTTTAATGATTATAGTTAAACACTGTTAAAGTAAATATCTGCTTTTAAATGTATTTAAATATGAGTTTTATTTTAGTTTACAGCTTTTTATCTAAATTTATTTTGATGAGAAAGAATCATTATTCTGGCATAATAAAGCGTTGTAAGGTGTTAATATTTTATATAAGGTGTATGTCAGTTGTATTCTTTCAATGATTCAGAAGTAAAGGCATTGAAATATTTTGGAGCAGTAAGTTTTGTTTTTACCTACCCAAAATTACTAGCGAAAGATTGTTTCATAGTGAATGCATAGGTGGTCCATAAATAAATGTTATTGTAATTCTTCCTATCGATTCACTGAAATCAAAATGTTTGCTCTGAAATGCTGCTGGTTCATCAAGCTTTTGCTGAACGCAAGATAAGGTCTAAGTCACAGCTTTCTGATGGACTGCTGGTTGCCAGATGCAATGGTCCAGTATTTTCATGGTCTGCGCTAGAACTGGAAACTTCTTCAAGGGTCTGCTGCTCAGATCAGCAGCTATCCAGTACTTGAAAGTTCTTGTTACAGAGCCAGAAAGAATCCTTCATTCTTCAGTGTGACTGATACTACAGCCGATCTCAGGGACAGTGGAGCTGTGGAGCTGTAAGCATGTCCTGTGACACAGAATATGCTGCATCAGCAGATGCTAATGGAAAAATCAGAGTTCCTTAAACATATGCAATAATAAATGAGTATTGTAGAAAAAATTATAAATTTGAAAAAAAAAAATTAATTTTGGTTCCCCTTAAATTGGTAGGTATTGCCTTTTGTTGGGTATTATATCTAGTAAAAACATGTTTAGTGACATCAGCCATTTGTGTTTTATAGGGGTTTGCATCACTTTTTTTTTAACTGCAGATAATTTCACTGCCTTTTAGTGACATCTGCTGGAAGAAGTGGGCCCACCTTCTACCGATAGACAAGAAGAGCACTCAGAAATTTTGTCCCATATATTTTCCTGAAGTATTGAAATTCTGAAAGAAAGCTCATTCAGAACTGAAGTGCCCTTTTTGCAGCACTATATAGTATTTTCCCCAAATCCAGATAAAACTAGAGGATTGCGTAAACAAATTCCAAAGTGTTCCAAAACTAAATCTGGTTTTGGAAGGCAAAAAAAGAAGTAAAGATAATCCACATTTGAAATTTACAGTTGGTTGAATGGAGCAGAATACTGTTTAGTCTCCAAAAGTAAAGGCCACATAATCACTCTAGTTTCTCAGAACTGCAACAAAGATAAATATGAGCATATACAACATCTGCAGCTAACATGAAGTGAATCAAGTCTGATACAAATGACCCCAAATGCTCTTAAAACACACTGGAGTAAAGTTTGTTCACTATTTGGTGATATTGTTTATTTTTATAGGTCTAAATAGATTACTGGGAATGTCTCAAAAAGCTGCTGTTGAAATACTCCTAATCCTAGCTGAAGTGGCAGAAATCTCTTGAGATGTATTTGCACAAGCTCCAGTTGTAATGTTTTGTTGTTGTACAAAAAAATGTATGATACAAATAATGAATTTTGGTAGTCTAGCAGGCATGGGTACTAAGTAGCTGAACTTTTTGGTACAGTAGTCTGCAAAACATTTTGACTCCTTACAAGAGCAAGGTGTGGGGAATGAATGCTGTTTGGATGGCAGCAGTGCATGTTGCTTTGAGTTTTAAATCTATTCTGGATTTTCATCTATTATGGTTAGATCTATTATGGGTTTTCATAAATGTTTATTGGAAATGTTATTATTACCTTTCCCTTTATAGGAAAACTGCTATGCCAACATTATGGGAATCACTAGAAGAACCTGATATACTTGATACCACAGAGTTTGAATATTTATTCTCCAAAGACAGCACTCAGGAAAAAAGAAAACCATTATCAGAGACTTACGAAAAAAAAACCAAGGCCAAAAAGGTATTTATTATTTCTTTGTATTTGCTTTTTTGTGTCACTGTTTAGTTTTACATTTTAAGAAAACTCCCTTTTTATTTATTGTTGAACGAACAGATAATAGATAGGTTTGGAAATCTCATTTTAAAGCAAAATAGGTGGATTTCCAATTCAACTCTTGCTTGAGAATTACCTTGGAAGATTTCTTGCCTTTGAAAATGAAAGTTCCACATCCTGGTGAGGTAGAAAAAATATTGTATGGAACAACTGAATGAAAGTTCTAATATGAATCTAAAAGTGCCAATATTTCAGGCCACGTCTGCCCTTGTACTGATTTATAATGGAAGGCTGTCATTAAGTTATTCTAGAAAACCTCTCTTCCATCGAGATGAATTTTATTGGAAAAATAAAGTATGAAGAAAGGTAGGACTGTTAGACATTTTGAATAAGGAGTACCAAAAACCTTTTTTCTGGTATAGTTAAAGAGCTGTGTCAGGAAGGGGCAGGACAGTCATAATAGCCAAAAGTTCATGCAGCAACTATGTCATTATTGTAGCGCAGATATTGTCTGCCTCAGACATGATCCATTACCAAGAGAGCTTCTACTTGTCAATTACTATGTGCAGATAAGACAAAGAAATGGCATTGGTAGTATTTGCTGCAGGAAGAATTCTAGGCTGAATAATGATCGATATTGTTTTCATAAAACAACGTTGTTATAGATTAGAAACCAATTTAAATATGTGCTGCATCATAAATCTGGTTGAGTTTGCCTGCTTGGAACCACAAGAGGGCACTTTGTATGTAAGCTATGCTATCTACCTTTTTCAATTTTGTAATACATATGATGTGAAATATACATACGTAGATACATATCAGTGCAATCAGGTCTTTAGAAACATCATTGATCATAAAATTCCTGTATTTTGTCTTAGCACAGTAGTTAATGAGAAGTGTAAATAAGGCTATAGAATTTATAAAATTCAAACTCATGTGATGCAAAAAGTGAAAAATAGGGCCAGGATGGGGGCATGCTGGCATTTGTGAATACACTATAAAGAAATCATTAATTGTTAAAAGTCTTTCAAATGTTAGATTGAAGTTAGACATGAACATCTCTGGGAAAAATACTTTGACATATTTTACTTGACAAATGCTTCAAGTGCTTATGTCATGGAGTACTCAGCTGTGTAAATCCCATTAGTTCATATTTCTGATGCCCTCAGTCTAAAATTTATTTTTACATTTCATTAATTTACCTCTTCCAAACAGAACTATTTAATAGGAAACACAGGTTTGTAAAGAACTTTGAAGAATGTAACCAATGTAACTTTAATGGAGAAATAATATGCAGTGGTTACTTTTGTATTTAAAAATCTCAGCAATTATGTGAATATACCTATTTCTCCAGGTGTCTGATAGCAAACCAGGTAGAGAATTAGGCCTGTATTCTGAAAGATGAAATTACATTATTCTTTTTCCTTGCTGCTTTGTAAACTAACTTATTTGCAACAGCAGCACAATTTTTTAATGATCTCTCTTAACTTTATCCAAAATCGAATTGGATAATAGTTACTCTATACAATATAGAAAATAATTGTATAGTAAGTACTATTTCTTGTGAGAAACCAATGTGGTTTTTACAAAGATATCTTCTTTATTTATGTAATTTTTTGAATCATTCTGTTTTGTTACTAGATTTAAACTTGTTATTTTAAGACTAGGGATATATTTACTGAAATGAGTGAAATTTAAAAAGTTCCTTTAAAGAACTGTGTGAAAATACAAAACCAAATTCCCTAAGAGATAAATTAAGAGTTATGTCTGTTACTGTCTCTTTAGTTTGGTAAAACTCATGGGATTATGATCTTGGTGTTACAAACCATGGGAATTGCCGGGCTTTCTGTGAAAATTTCAAAATCTCATGGTCAACAGTATTAAACCTTCCGTCATTTGGTCAATTTAAAAATTAAAAATAAATCAGCTTTTAGAATCCAAATGAAATTTGAATTTAATTTGGTATAGAAGCATTTTCTTATTTTATATTCTGTCTTTCTATCTTTCCTTGTTAAAGGGCTCATAGTAGCCGCTGAATATTTTTACAGACAGTTGGTCCTCTTATATGGTCCTGTGTTTTTCCTTTTCTCTCTGAAAGCCCAGATGTCTGCAGACTGGCTCCAGTGGATCTATCTTGGTGGGCTGCAAGCGATACAGTAGTAGGGAGGCATTTTATTTAGTTGCAGGAGTATTTATTAGTAGATAGTAACAGAAAGCTCCTGTAGATTAATGTAGAACTATCAGTTGTGCCAGCTTCATTTGTGCCTTCTCATGCTTTTTCTCAGCTCTCAACTTTTCTTGCCTTTTCTGTAGTCATTGTATCTATCTACAATGCTACAAGTGTCTTGGTGTATGGAATTTTACAGTCTGGTTAAAGATGCTTTCTATAGACACTAAGAAAGACATATGAATCTTACAAGTTTCATCATATGTTATCATTTTTAGCTGATGCTGTGTCATTTTGTATATCTTTGTAAATTCCTTTTGCGTGTTCTATAAAAAAGCCTTCCAGAGCAAAATACGGGTACAGTGATAGAATCTGGAGTAGTGGTTTGTAGGTAAGCTCTTTTATTTAGTAATACGTTAATGCAGACCTATTCACTGCATTAAATCTCTTCTCCTCTGCACAAGCTTTGTCCTATTTCATAAGATCTTATACAAACTAAGTTGGGCCTACTTGGTATTTAGAGAAATAACAGACCAATAGGTGGTGCAGGATTGCTTGTTAAAACGTGATTACTTAATACTTTTCTCCTTGAATGAGAATTACATCAGTGCCTCACAATCAAGTTCCTTATTCAATTGGAAGTAAGATTCTGTCTTTCAAATTAGAGGGGAATTGTTTCTCATTTAGCTGGATCTTCTTTATAAAACTAAGGAGACTTCAACAATTAGTGGCCTGTGGAATTATGACTTCTTTACCATCTATTTACATTTCTCTTGCAGAGAATAAAATATTATTATTCAATTTATTCTCAGAATTATTATTTTTGTGAGACCAGTCAGAATAATCTGTATGCTTAGTCTGTGAAATGAATGCTTCTGTGGAATGCATCACATTAAAACTATAGAAATTTTATTTTGTTCTATTCTTACCCATTAAAATATTCACTGTATGCTGTGCTTTTGTTACTTACAGCTGATAGATATCTACCATTTTCAGCCAGGAATACCTAAATCTTGTCCTACATAAATGGAAGGGATGGTCTGTTTTCCAGTACCATTTGGAAAGTCATGCTCAGAAGGGAAAATTCTGAGTGTATATTTATATTCATATATATTTATAGTCATATATATAACGTACTTACAATATAACATATACTTTATAAAATATATATTTATAATATAGAATATATTTATACTCATACATATACTCAGTGTCAAAATAGGAGACTACATTGAAGATTCTGTGGGCACCTATGCTGGGTCTGGTTACCTCAGTATTTTCACTTATGACGTGGATAATGGAATCTTAACTCTGCAGCCACCACCTAGTTGTGAGAGGCTTTGAATGTACCAGAGCTGACCCTTTAGAAAGCTTTCATGTATCAGAGATATGGTCTGAAAGACAGGGAAGAGCACAAACCTAATATAGTTAAGCACAAAGTTAATACAGTTAACTAATTCAGCTACCTAAAAATAAGAAGGGGTACAACTGATAAGGTAATAGTTTAGCAGAAGGATCGTGGGATCATAATAGCTCACGAGGGACATGAATTGTCAAATCATGGTGGCACTAACAATCTTTAAGAGAATTTGTTTAGAATGATGCATATATAGTTGATACTGTCTTGAAATGCAGAAATGCTTTGGATGACATTTTGAGTGCCTTTCCAAAATCATGATTCTGTTACTCCATTAAAGAGCATAAAGTCCACTTTCTGTCCATTGTCCTATGGACAGGAGCAGCTGGCTATCCTTGTTTATTCAAAGTGGAAGCGCTTTCATGATTCCCAAATTCATTGGTTTCATGCCACCCAGAAAATGATTTATTAATTGAATTACAGTAGTTTCTAGAGGCTATCATCCTGACATGAGGATGTAAATACTAGAATTTGAAATGCAGTTATTAAAAAATAAGGTATTCTAACAAGTATGTGGGGGAAAAAAAGGAAGGAAAGTTAAGAACCTTCCAGCAGTAATGGTAATATAACTTCTTAAAGGACTACATAAAGGGTGATTTTATTTCTTTTTAGGCATATATTAAATTATTTTGGAAAAATATAGTACGTTCACTTGATAGCAATACAATGTAAAAATAACATAGTTTACATGAAGGTCAGATGTAGCTTTCTGGTACACATATATTCTTGAAGTTTATTATGGTAATGGTTATCTGGGTTTAGAATCTCTGCAAAGTGTGTGGCTGCTTGTGCTTCTTCAGTCATGCACACCTTTGGAAAATTCACCAGCTTTGGAAGAAACTTTTTTTTTTTTTTTCCCCCAACTCTACATACTCTGCAATGTTTCAGGAAACCCTGATTCTTGTGCATTGATCTGTTCTGCATATATGCAATCTTCCAAATAAAAGTTCTACACTATTATGTAGATAATGATCAAAATATATATTCTTGTTTTTTAGGTATTATGTCTTGAGAGTAGAATTTGTCTTTGCTGGATGGGGAGAATTTACTGTCTAGATGAGTATACTCTAGATGAGTATATTTACTGTATAGATGAGTATATATATATAGATGAGTATATTAGTTATGTTCCAATATTAGAGCAAAATACTGTGCAATATATTTAAGAATTAATAACTGTAGTTCTTTTCTCATAAGAATGCTTTTGAAGTGTAAGGCTAAAAGCATTATAATCTTATACGAGTTAGTATAATACAGTGATTTTTTGGATGCAATATCTATGGAACGGAAAAGATGCTATTGCTTGCATCCTGACTTTCCCAGAGACTCCAGATGGATAAAAAAAATATAGAAGGAGTGGGATTTATTTCCTAGGATAGTTCT